TCGCAGAGATTCTGCCCACTTCCTCTGCCTGCGCCTCCCCTCGTGCGCACTGGATCCCAGCAGAAAGAGGGGTGCCGTCCCACCGCTGTGCTCTGTCTGCCTTTGTGCGTCCCCACTGCACCCTCTGAGACGGGAGGGCGGGCGAGAGCAGGGACGTAACACGGAGGCTGCTCTTGGGCAAGCAGAGGCGGGGGTGGAGTGAGATGCACCTTAGCATTAGCAGAGCCAGCTCCCAAATGACTCCCTTCCAGGAGACTGGAGCGGAGGGAAGGAGGGAGCCCAGGGCTTGGGCAGATGAATTTTCCGCTGGCCCAGGGCCCTGCCAACATCTGAGTGCAAGCATCTGAAGGGTGATTTATGAGACTTTCAATGCAAAGGCATTCAGATGCTTTCTTCCCAGCCGCTGCTCAGTGCCCGGAAAAGGCTTCCTGTGCAAAAAGCATTGACTGGGGAAAGGAAAGCGCGTTCCCCCAGTGACTACGGGGAAGTCAGCACATGGCGCAAACGCCCTCCTGGCTCCCACTCCGGCTGTAAGCAATGTGCAGAGCATGGCTGCTGGGGAGACTATTCCCAGGTCCCCGCAACCCCCTGGGAGCCCAGCTCCTTTGCGATCTCCAGCCCACCTTCAGAGCCGCCCAGCAGGCACCCGAGGCTCAGAGGCTTGATCAGAACTAATTGCTGGGTGTTCATGCCTCGTTAGCCTCTAGGGACTAAGCTCATTTCTTGGGGAAGCAGCCGAAATGTCCGCTGATGCCCTGGGGAGCTGGGCCAGCTTGCGCACAGGCTGCATTCAGTTCCTTGGGGATGCTGGCCCAGATCCTTCTCCGCCTACGAAGCACCCAAGCGTGATCCTATCGCACCTTGCTCGAGCCGCTGGAAAGCCACGGAGGTGTCTAACACGCTGTCCCTTTAGCCGTGAGGTTGAGGCGAACAGAGCAGCGAAGAGCACCTGCTGGCCCTTTGCACGGACAGGTCTGAGAGGCCATGTGGGTGGCTGAACGCGCGTGCCCAGATGTGCCAGCTGGCGCCTGCAGAACCCCTCACAGCAGAGGCCCAGCTCTGCTGAGGGGTGGTCCGCAGCACCTAACACTGCATCTCTCCAGGTCTTTGGGGAACGGCTGCTTGCAAGCCCCTGCGCCGCGCTTCTGTGCTGTACGCAGCGTCCTGGAGCTGCATGGCTCTCAGAGCTGGGCACAAAAGGGGCCCGGAGGGCCTGTGAAGCAGCGGGGCTCTTTACCGGAGACCGACTGGGAGGCTCTGCAGTCTGAGGTGCGTGTGTCCGAGGAGGGGTGCAGGCCTGCAAGCGTTATTGTCCCCTGCCCACACGTGTTCTCTGCCAACATGTGGCAGTATCTAGTGGGGAGCAGGCAAGGGGGAATTGCCTCTCAATCAGGAGAGTTCAGAGGAGCCGATTGCATCTGGCACTGCGTGGGCACAAGACTGGCTGGGGCACTAGGAGGGGACGATTTATTGGGTTGCATTTGGCCGCTAAAGGGAGCCTTTTCCAGCTACCGCTTGTTATTTATCTGCCGGTAAAATCCCTCCAAGCCGCTCCCAGATAAATGGCGCTGGCTGGAGGGGGTGTGGGCTCTCACTCCAAGCTAGGCGTTTGGTTTCTAGTCCAGCTCCAGCGCGGACTTGCTGCACATCACTCTCTCTCTGCCTCTCCATTTCACCACCTGGAAATGAGGAAGGTACCTCCCAGCTGGGGGCCGTGCACACGCCAGGATTAAAGGCTTGATGAGCGGGAGCTCTGTAGCAGAGGGAGAATGATAGGGGCTGGTCTCCCCAGGGCAGCGTGATGCTTCATTCACAGCTGTGAGGCCCGGCTAGCTCTCCTGATCTGCAGTGGCGCGCTGGGAGGGCGAACATTGGGTCTGAAAGCTAAATGTGCCCCTCGCCCCTCTCCGAAGGGCTGGAGCCCCTGGGCGGAGGACAGGATGGGCGGCTGGAAAGAAGCAGCAATTGGAGACCCTGGGGTGTTCGCAGCGTAGCAGGTTCCCGCGCGTGGGATCAGCGCACACATCTCGGAGACGAGCAGCGGCGACTGAGCGCGCACTGCACTGAATTAGACAAGGGGCCACGCGATGCTATGGGCCGAGCTGGCTCCAAACGCGCATGCTGCAGCCCACAGCGTGTTGGTGGCAGATGCTTACGGTGTGGATCGGCTACGGTTTCCCAAAGCCCGGCTCAGTAAGCCAGGTCTGCCCGAGCGCTTATAAAGTAGTGAGCGGGTACCAGGAGAAAGGAAGCGGCCAGCTCCGATGCTCCAGGGGTTCGGGCAGACCTCTCCAGCTAAACCCCTGGAGCTGTGCTAGTGCCACCCTGGCACAGGGAGGGAATTGGGCAGCGTGTCCTGGGAGATGGTGACATCGTGGGCGGGGAAAACTTCCTGCTTTTAACAAGCATCACGTTATGGTGACGCCCTGAGACCTGGGCAGGACCGAGTCCTGTCTTGCTGGGTGCTGTACAAAGATGCGGAGGTGCATGACCCCTGCCCTGAGGAGCTTAGGGCCTGGCAGGGCAGTAACGGAGCCATCCCCTCCTCCGACCCTTCCCCGTGAGCGTGCCCGTTGTGCACCTCCCTTGTCACCCGGGAAAGCAGCTTCCTCAGCCCTCAGGCTCGCGGGAGCGCCCAGTTGGTGCTTGGAAACGCAGCCTGGCCCAGCGCGCTGCCATGAAACCCAGCACTGACCCCCGGGTGGGGAGGACATGGGTTTGCCCGGGGCCCTGATACTCGTGAAGGGGATGACACGGGCTTCCCGGGGTCCCCACTGCTCTGGCCGGGGAGGATGCGGGTTTGGCCGCATCCCCGAGGTTCTTGACGTGGAGGACACCGGGTTTCCAGGGTCCCCGCTGCTCTCGAAGGGGAGGATGCGGGTTTCCCAGGGTCCGCCGGGGAGGACGGGGCTTTCCCGGGGCCCCCGCTGCTCCGGCCGGGCAGGAGGCGGTTTGCGGGGCCGGGGGCACTCACCATGATGGAGAAGACGAGCGCCACGACGTTGACGGGCCAGACGGGGCAGAAGCAGGCGAGGATGGCGAGCGGCAG